AATAATAATAATAATAATAATAATAATAATAATAATAATAATAATAATAATAATAATAATAATAATAATAATAAATACTACATACATCAATTGTTTGCCAATCATGTAGTTGAAGATAATCTTCTTGAAAATGTGAATTTCGTCTTACAAGTATATCAGTTATTTCATGTATATCTTTTAACCTTTGAAGCATTGTATATGTACTATTCCAGCGTGTCTCAACATCAGACTCAGGCATTAAAAAATTTTTTTCAAAGGCTTCAGAAATTTTTTTAAGTTCTTCAATTAATAAAGGTGAATTTCGAAGTTTAATTGCAAAGGCACGTGCTTTTCTAATTTCGGAAATAATTTCATTAATTCCAGATTTTGCACTCAAATTTAGGACATGAGCTGCACAACGAAGCTAATAAACATGGTCATTATCATAATTTGAACTCATAATTGTTTTCAAATGCTGAAAAAAAGTATTGTTATTGCCAGCATTGTCTCCTGTAAACCCAATAAATTTGCAAACAATTCCCATTTCCTCAAGCAAATTTAAAATAATTTGCGCAATATTCACTCCAGTATGACTTTCATGTAAAGCAACTATATCAAGTAGTAAATCATGAAGTGTCCAATCATTATCGATCCAATGAATGGTTATACCGAGAAATGGTTGCTTATTAGAGGCAGTCCAAATATCAATTGTAAGTGAAATTTTACTTAAAATAGTTGCAAAATATTGTTTAAGTCTTTCACGTGCTATACTAAATTCATCCTTTACACTTTTTGACAAAGTTTGTCTACAAGGTAATCGATATTGTAAATTCAGCTTAGAAAGAAATAGCTGAAATGCACTGTTTTCTGTCACCATAAAAGATTGCTGATCAATTACTATCCAACGAAGAAATGATCTATCTATTTCATCTCTACGTTGCCTGCTTAATTGAGTATATGGAGTATTAGATCTAACTCTAAGTCCTCGTTGTTGCATTTCAGTATAAGTATCTGGATGCTTTGTTTGAAAATGACGGAACATAGTGGATGTAGCAGTTTTTGCTCCAAATTTAGATGGTCGATCTTGAGGACAATATTTACAAATTGAAATTCCATTATCTGTTTGTTCTATTGATATAATCATGAATTAATGATGTTTTTTTTCTTCGTATGGGAGTAATTGAGTTGGATGGTGAATTTTCAGATGACATTGCGTTCTAAGAGATACTGTTAAAAAAAAGAAATCCAAGAATCTATTGACTTTATATAAAAATTGATGGTCTAGTTCTTTAATTAAAGACTATTATTACTTTTTTGAACCAATGATAAAAACAAAAAGTTCATTAAACATAAAATTTTTATTGTAGATAATTATTTTATTATAGACGATATTGTCTGCAGTATATTCTGATAAATAATTCTCTTGTATAGCACAAAGCAATATTTATTAAAAATAGTAATATCTAGTAAATAATTAAAGTTAACTGTGTTATATAGAATTAATTTTTATATAGTATTCCTTTTTGTACATTATTTCAACAGTTAGATTCTATAAAACTTAACTAAAAAAAACTATCGATAACTCCTAATATCTAAAGTAATACTATAAACAACTCAGCATATAGGGGATTTGTCTGCATATATAATAATTAATTTGTTTTTTAGGGCACACATTTCGTTAACAATCACTTCACTGACAGTTTAGTTCACTGACAATTAATTCACAAACAAGTTCATTTCACCAACAATTATTTCACTAACAGCTTATTTTATTGACAAAGTAATTCTGGTCATTGTTGTTAATATTAGGTTAGTATTAGAGTTGGTTAATATAATTTATAAAAAATACTTGCCGGTAAATTGAGATAATTGTTAGTAAAATTAACTTGTCAGTAAGTTAATTACAGTAAGATATCTGTGAATTAATTGTTGGTGAACTAAGCTGTCAGTGAAGTGATTGCCGGTGAAATAACACATATGTATTCTATTAGCAAAAATTAGTAAACTTTATAATTGTTGTTAATAGCCTTTAGTTTTAAATAAAACTACTGCATAATTATATCAGACTATAAATTGTTAGTCTGAATTTCCCTGCTTAATTTAATGCTTATTGTTCATTAAATTTATAACAATAATGATAATAATTGAAGCATAAAAACGGTAAACAATAGTATAATACTATACAATATTTTATTTGCTGCATTTTCAAAAATATACTGATGAAACGAATATTCAAAATTATTCATATTTACTAGGAATGTTAAGCGATTTATAAGAAATAAGTTCTAAAATGACATATAGTATATAGAGCCATTTGCTGCGCTGCTGCCAATTGGTTTAAATATTATTTTTGATACATCAAATTTATGAGTAATAAAATTTTAATATAATATAAATCAAAAATGACTCTTATTAAATGGCTAGTATTTACTATGTGTCATTTTAGCCCTGGTTCAGACCAGATTTGAAAATTACCCAGAATATTAAATTTTAGTGCTGATTGATAAAACTAGCTAATTTATGAATGTCTTTATTAATTATGAATTGGAACAACGACATGCAGAAATAACACCCTACATTTAAACTTTGCTTAGGTCTTAAAATGTTAGTGAAGTCAACTTAGAGTGCTTTCAAGCAAAAAATTCGGTCCTTCCCCTGAGCAGATATCCATTGTCCAGTTGTTGTTGGTAATGCATCTTATAAATTGATTATAAGTGTTTCATGGTTCATCTAACGCTATGCAGAAAACAATTAGAATAATTATAATATGCAGGGTATTGATACATATCGATGCCAGACAATTTCTTGCACTAATCCTTCTTTTTCAATCTTCTAAGCAAAACTTGAGTTAAATAGCAAAAGAATAGTTTTTTCTAATATTGGCTGTACAAACAAATTTTCTTGCCTAATAAACTAACTAAAAAAAAAAAAAGATTAGTATGAAATTGTCTGGCATCGATATGTATTAATACCCTGCATATTATAATTGTTCTAATTGTTTTCTGCAAGTAATAGATATCTGCTTAGGGGATAGACCAGGGCTAAAATGACATATAGTAATTCAATAAGTGTCATTTTTGATTCACATTATATTAAAATTTTATTACTCGTAAATTTAATTATCAAAAATGATATATTTAAAACAATGGGCAGCAGCGCAGTAAATAGCTGCCATATACTATGTGTTGTTTTAGCTTTGGGATAGACCGAATTTTTGCTTGAAAGTGCTATCGCTAGAAATTTTGACACATACTGTGCATATTAAACATTAGTGGTACTATCCAGTGTTGAAAATTCGGCACAAACACTTTGTGCAAGAAAATTTTTTTATATATAAAATATTACTTTATTTTTTGTGCATTTGCACAGCGTATTGTTAATAACAATATGTACACAACGAATTTTCAACACTGGTACTATCTACATGATCCATAAAATCAGTGGCCGCCCTGGTCATAGTCATGCTTCATCTTATGCTTAGAACAATTATAATATGCAGGGCCAATTATTATTTGTCTTTTCTATGAGATGACCTATAAAAATCATGAATACTCTACAAACAATGGTCAAACAGTAGAAGACTGTTTTGAAGAATATCCAAATTTATGTTTGAAAACACTCTAGCTCAGGGCATAAAATACCTATTGATTTACCGGCAACTCCAAAAGTATCATTTTTGATTCACGATATGCCAAGTTCGATTGGTGTATCAAAAACGATACTTTAAACAATGGACATCGGCGCACAGTAATTCAATAGGTATTTTATGCCCTGCTCTAGCTCTAATACTGATTCATTGCAACAATTGCTGCAGGTGGTGCCAGTGTTGTCACCGGACATAGTCCGAGCTATTGTGGGCGGACCGGACATTTTCGGACATTGTCTGAAGTCCATGTCCGAATTATGTCTGAGTAAATTGATTGTCACCGGACATTGTCCGTGCAATAATTGTCAGACACAGACATATGGCGGACATGGACATTGTCCGATGTCCGATACTAAGATTTCGAATGTTTGATAGAATAATTCAAACTTTTATTTTAAATGTTACTTTAATGGAAATATATCGTGACCATCAAAAAACATATATTTTTTAAACCACTAACTAAACTAGGAAACGAGGTCCGTTGGGCTCTAGAGCACCACTTTGTATTTCAACAAATCAACAAATACACATTAATATGAGCGTGAAATAACATTTAGATCTATTTTAAAGAACTCTGAATATTATTTTAACTAACTACATCAAACTTCAGAAGTTATTTTGATGCAAATATGTAATTATAATATCATGGTCTGGCCAA